TTGATAGCCACTGCAGGAAAACTCTACTCATTGCATCCACACGACACGAGTGATCTTCACAAAAGTGAGATAATGAAAAGCGAATGTCTGAAGTTTAAACTAAGTTGTTGAGTAAGGAAGACTTATCTAGGAAAGTTCAAAAACCCTGATTCCAAACCAATGGTGCACCGAGCTTCAGTATGCTAAGAGAAAAAGTAGTATATGAACCTAGATCAGCAATTAGATACCATGAGGATTTAATTTATTAGTGCCCCTTCTGCCCTGGAGCTCTGAGCAACCCATTTTAAACAAAACAAAACATATTATTCCAATTGAGAGTTTTGTTTTCAGTCAATTTATTCCTAAAGCGTGAACTTGTCATCGAAATAATCACTGGGTATTGTGTTTATTCAGTTAAATTAACGTGAAATTCCTTTCAGCATCCAATGTACGGCTTAAAGATGCCACAAGTATTCAGTGTTTGACAACGCTTTAACCAGTAACACCTAATATAACTCGTACCCACCATCACGTTCACATATTGAAACATGGTTCACCAAGTATACAAGACATGCTCACCTTAGATACTAGTTGATACAACTAGGTCAACACAAACACATCCAAACAGCGAAACTGTAACTAAGCCTTTTATACTTGCCGGTCTCCAGTCTTCAGTCTTCAGTAATAAGGATAGGAAGTCTATCGACCTATATTAATCCTTGCAGTTTGTAATATTGTGAAGGTCCAATCTCGTTTTGAATATATTAGCATAAGGTGCTAATATTAAGTGTTCCGGTAGAGAATTCCAGTAATTCACTACTCAGTGCGAGAAACGGAACTCCAGACGTAAACATAGTTTATAACAACTATACGAATGATTTTCTCCATCAGTTTTACAACTGCACTAGTTAAGCTAACGGGTCTATAGTTACTAACTAAATCTCTACTCCCAGCCTTATACACCGGACTTATTACGGCGTCTTTCTAGTCTCTAGGACGTCTGGACTGTCTCAGAGACATGTCGTATAGTATCGCTAATGGTTCAGCAATTTCATCTGATATGGCTTTCATAATCCTACGATGAATATCATCAGGACCACTGGACTTATCAGGCTTGAGATGCTGAAGTAGCCTTAAAACAGTACCTTTCTCAATGACTACAGGACCCATCAGTGAGTCGTCACGGTCATGATGAATCGTTGGTCGTTCCTCATTACCGATAGAAAATTACTAAAATATTCCGATATAGCTTTAGCCCTTTCGGCATCATTTTTGGCCAAGATTAACGAATTTTCTTGTACCAAAAGTGATGGAATTCCATCGCTTCTCTGAGTTCGCCTTTTTATATACAAGAATAACCGTTTCGGACTATATCTAGAATCCCTAACCGATTGTTTTTCATATGATTGTCTAGTCTTACTTATTAACGCTTTACAAATATTCCTAATCTTACAATAATTGGATCTGTATTGTTCTAAGCCAGTAGAGATGAACATATTCCAGTGATTCTTCCTTTTTCTAAGGAGTTTCCTGACCGTTTTAGTTATCCATGGTGGACTATTATTCGGTCTTCGCGGTACCAGGTATGGTATGAACGGGGACGTAACTAGTCTAAATTTACCTTTAAATACAGACCATGCTTCTTCAACTGATAAACTAGTACCTACAAACCAATCTGTCTTAGCGGCACATTCCTGAATGGCTGATACGTTAGCTTTCCATACATTTGGGCGAGGTGCAACCTGATCATATAACATGTCCCTAATTCTAAACGTGAATGACAAAACAGCGTGATCGCTATTCACTAACGGTGGAAGAATATTTGGGTCGTCAATATCCTCAATCTCATGAGTGATTACCAATTCCAACAGAGAAGAACCTTGGTTAACACCAATACGTGTGGGTTTGGATACATGCTGCACTAATGCATGCTCCATTATTTTTACTAGGTACCCACTATCAAAGGAGTTTATAGATCCTTCTGTGGTCATCTCAGTCCAACAAATATCAGGTTCATTAAAGTATCCTATTATCAAGCATCTGGTATTCGCACTCCAAAAATGAATGTGCTCTAAAATAAAGTCCTCAGCTAAGCAGATTGGTCTGCGATAGATGACACCGAACATAAATGTACTGCATACAATAGCTAACTTACAGCTAATGACTTTGTAGTGGCATTGAACCATAACCACACAATCCTCAAAGCTGAACACGGAACAACTCGGAAAATAGATATTTAATATTTAACGCGGAGAAATACCTAACGATGGAGAGGGCGGGAAGAATGTATTGAATGAATTGGAGTTGAATGGATAGCATCGCTCGGCCATGCAGACATGGTCCCTGCTGAATATTATCTTATGTCCTTTATCCATATTAAATATATTGTTTTTCTCTAGCCTAAGCTTGTTCTTCATCATGTATTGGTAGTTGTTACGATACAGTGAGTTGGTGTAGGCGATGATGTGACTTCCACGTAAGATCTTATAGATTAGGCAGTTATATCATGACAAATCTACAATTTTAGGATTAGGTCTATTATTAGAGCAGTACTAATATCATAGTAGATCATAGTTCCACAGCTTCACAAGTACCGCTATCATGGGATTCACTAGCAGAAGAGCGGATATTTATGCTATTGTTTATATATAACAGGACGCCACCTCCTTTTCTACATTAATGTTTATCACTCCTGAGGTAATGGTATCCGGACAATTCAGGAGTAATGTCTAAGTCATGGACTAGCCAAGTTTCTATCACTGCTACAATGAGTGGCTTTAACCTGTCCACTAGTGCTTCTAGTTCATAGAACTTATCTCGTAGACTACGAGCGTTGGCATATAAAACTCCTAAGTAGAACGGCCTATCCACATAGGCCTTGGTAGCATTCGCTTCCAAGACCTGACTATCCGATAACCCACTAGCCGGAGATTTTCCTCACTGTTTTGCCAACGGGTTTCAAGTTCAGCTAGTGCTTTTTTGCTCTTTATTCTATGTTCGGGAGACATGTCAGGTCTAACTCGGATGTCGGAATTGTCATGACAATAAGCTCTACTTAACAGGAGATCCGGCTGCTTCTCCGATCCTAGGATTACCTTAAGGAGTCTGCATGGTCGGGGTTCAACACTGTCCTCAGTCCTCTTGCCTATTCTAACCAATTTTTTGACCAGAACTCCTTTTGAGTCACCTGGTAAAATACTACGAATATATTCTCCTAGCTTTTCTAAATCATGCGCGTGTCTAATTTTGGGATCAGGGTCGTTTGACTCCCGCAATTTGCTCACAGTAATATTGGATGTTATTTGATTTTTCTTCTCAGTCACGCCAGGATGGGTTTTACTCTTACCATCAGATTTTGGTAGTGCAGTTTGTGACTCACAATAAGAGTCCACCAGTGAGTTACTAACTACCTGTGTACTGCTTACAGCTTTTTTCTTTTCCTTTCGTTTTCTACGTGCCGTAGTCCATTTTTCATCCCTCAGGACACTGGGACTATTTGGAACGGTGACGGTTTTATCCAGTTCGTCGGTTCCCACTAAAAGTGCATTGTTACCAATGTCAGTACCATGTGGTACTACTCCCCTTGTTGATGTTAACGGAGATTTCTCTTTTACATCGGTCAGAGTCGGTTGTTTGAGGCGTCGCGTAACGGCAGGTACTACACTGGCACATCCGTCACTGCCAGTGCCCGTGTTGTCAGCGCATGTGCCATCGTTCTTCTTACAGGCCAAAGCCAATAGGCTCATTGCCTCTTGTATTAGTAATGCCTTATTTGCACAGCAAAACATGTGAAGCCAATTTGAGTTAGACTTCGAACATCTTTTGCATGAGGTGGGACTTAAGCGAGTGCATATCTTATGGAACCACTTATTGCATTCATCACATTGCATTCCATCCTCTATAGGGAACAAACAGTTTGTTTGTCCACATTTGTGAGTACTACTGTTCAAACGTCCAAATGATTGTGGATGAAATGGAAGCTTTCGCTCAACAGGCTTCTGTATTTAATTAGTGGCTCATCGATGCCTCTAGGTGTGAACCCTAGGTGTATTTAGCAGACAGACGAGGAATATTTATAAATTATAAGGGAATACTGTCCTGAGTCCTTATGAATATGTCAAGCTTTCTCTTAAAGGACTCTTGGAAAGTCTTTTGGACTGCCTCAACAGGCAGCAAAATCCACGATTTGACTACTCGCAAAGAGTAACAGGTATGTCGACGGTCCATTCTGCCACGTCGCGACTATAAGTTTTGTGTGTTGTCCTTAGGGTGTGTTGGGACTGGCCCTTAGTAAGTATTTAATAGGGTACGCAGGAGTGTTTAAGATGCTACAAGTCAGTAGAAGGTCACCGTTGAGACGCATAAACTCCAACGGGTGGATATTCAGCGATTTGAGGCCTTCTTCATCAGGTTTGAATCTTAGTCCTCGAAAAGATTCCGTGGCTAACCTATGAATATGTAACAGCTCAGGTTGGTTGGTTAAGAGTTGACCTCAAACAACCAAGCATATCCTAAAACAGTATTGTTCAAGTATTCATTCATTTCCTTATTTTTTATAAGCGTTATATTCCCTATTATCTTATATTGAATGTTGAGAGCCTTTGTGTGTCTGAAAAGATAATCCCACACTCCACTGTGACTGCGCGAAGATCGAAATAAAGACCTATTCACTACTTCTCTGGTTTCTTCTATCAATAGCACGGGGGTTACCTTAAGGCACGAAAAATACTTTCTATCGTTTTTATCCGTTTGGAGTAAAAGTGTGTGGTGTGGCGTGGAGTCGCGTTTGACTATGATCACCACTACAAGAAGACTACGTGCCAGTTAACTGATAAGATCCCCCATAAGCCAAATATCAGAAGGCAGTTGACAGCTGTAGTCAATATGTATTCGTTGACGATCTCGTGGTTTCGAAAGAATACCGAGATCGTGACAGAGGAGAACAAGAGTGGTTACTGAGCGTAACCGAATTCATGCAAGGCCATAATCAATTAGGAGTGCTGCGCTTTACTGTATCCATTGTGGTTGTGCCCTTGTGATTGGCTGGTTTGTCCGTATGACCTTGAGTAGCTAGCGATGACAGTTATTGTTTTTCTGCTTGACAACAGCGCAGCAATGAACCAGCGCACTTTTCAAGGCACTACGTTACTAGACGTAGCAAAATCTGCGATAGAGATTTTTTCAAAATGAGGATGAGCAAATCAAGAGTAGATCGTTATTTTGTGCTTACTTTGAATTCTGACATAAGTTATGTCAAACTTACCGGTTGGAAACAGAATGTTGATCTTCAATTACTTCATTCTACCTTAAATAATATAAAACCAGACGGTTTAGTTGATTTGTCAACTGGTATTCAAAGAGCATTCCGGATGTTAAATATAAATAGATTGCAACTCGGACTGGAAAATTATGGGATGGGGATTTATCCATCATGTATTGAACCCTCTGTAATAATATGTATTACTACTAGCATAGGCTCATACAGTTTTGATGGCCAAATTTTCAATGATGCATCTATAACTTCCATAGAATCTGCCGTTCTTGGGAATGTTTTGACAAAAGAGACTTTCCGTTGGGATTACCGCATGTATTCTCTGGTACTTCGTTTTCCCGCATTTGTCAGTAATATTCATGGTGGTAGCTCCATAAGATCAGAAACAATCTTGCCGCTTAAAAGACTTGCGGAAGAAACTGGTGGTGAAAGTTGTGATGTTTACGACGGTCGGGAACTCCACCAGTGTCCTGATTCTCTTGTCACAAAATGCCAACCTGGTGTGGTTTTAAAATTACGAAGGTCTACTGACTGCGTTGATGCGGCTCTCCAAGAGAAATTCGTAAAGCAGTTGATGTCAGTTAAGCTAATGGGAAGGTCATCGTCTTGGCCTATCCCAGAACAATTTTGGCCTGATGATGAGATGCTAGCATCAGAGTTGCCACCTAGAAGTGCACATCCTGAAGTCCTTGTATCTAAAGTTCCTGTGATGGAACCCGAGTTGCCCGAGTATTTCCCCGTCGACCGTTACGAGTTGACTCCATCACATTTTACGAAAGAGTTTCTAAATTCGTCGGAGCAAAATATGGTTTGGCGGTGTTTCAGCTATGGTATCAAAAAGAGTCAGAATGCACCGTTTGGTTATTTAAAAGTATCAAGTGATCTCCAGTCAGTACATCTGCATATACTTCCTTACAATTATCCTGTATTTCTTCAGTTACTTGGTGATATATGTGATCATAAACGTATGACGGAAGCCTGGGGTCATCAGTTTGTGAACTATCTAGGAACCATACCGAAATATTACTTTATGCTCCTAGCGAAGGCGTTTGAACGAATAGGGTTTGTCGGGATGATTAAGCCTGAAGTTATTGACCGTGCACTTCCTTATCAATTGAAACAAAAGGAAGAATGTATGTGTCTTGGTACAGTTATGCAAACAAGTACGGTAGAACAACCCGTTGTACAATTGGTCATTATAATAATTGTTTCCATTACACCAATCGCGTTATCTTGATAAAAGTAGGTCACTACAAGTGAATATAGTGTTTCTTCACCTTAAATGGAGTTCAATAAAACTGCTAATGATGAAGTGTAAAGTTCTACTGTCAAAGTGACCAAAAATACGCTTCAACATTATTAGTGAAAGTTTGGCTTTTTGTCCCAGTGAGAGTAAGGTTTCAGATCATAGGATGCCAACGCTCACACATACTTCTCAACTTGTGACATCTCTACAAGGGACTCACTCACACATAGAGGATATCTCAGATGGACTACTACACACTTCAAAGTATTGGAAGGATGTCCGTTATTTTCCTCCTATATTTTAATTCGAGTTAGATCCGCATCAAGTGGCAGCTTATCATCTTGGTTGCAAACTACTTTCAAATGTTTCACATTGTCGGAGAAAATTTTTAAAAATCAGATGATGCCCAAAGAGGAAGGTCATTAATATAAATTAAAAGAAGAGGTCCTAGTACTGAACGCTGGAAAACTCCACTAGAACATTCTAAAGATATCGTGGAGGTTTCATGACGACTTTAGACTTCCATGAAATCTGGATCTGTCTTCGGAAATAGTTCATGGTAGCGGAACGCTTTCATTATCTTTTAATTCACTGAAAATCTGGAATTGCAAGACACTGACGAATAGTAAGAAGTATTGATTGGGCAAGAGCCTCTAGAATAGTTTCTCTCACTGCCATAGAAATGGAAGTATATAGTAAACCCTCTTCTAAAGAAGCCAGCTGGTGAAATCACCATTATTTCTGGTAGTGCATCCCGCAGCTTTCAAGCTCTTCTAAAAAACATTTGCACATCTCTTTTGTGTTCTGTTTCATCATCTGCGCTTCAGTGATTCACTCCTAGACGTAGTCTTGTTTAACGACTTATCAACTGTCTGTTGAAGTCAAACTATTGTGAGCAGTTTGTCACACCACTATTATTTAAATATTTTGTAATATACTTGTTACAGATTTAACCTTTCCAGTAAAGCTGAGTAGGATTCGTTCATAAACGAAGGTATATTGGGGTTGTTTCTTCTGAATTCGTTCCAAGAGTACAGTGTACTCTCCGAATTTTACAAACATGGAGGGAGAGTTATTCAGAGCAAATTTTAAGCAAGTTTCGATGATGATTCGGAATAGTCAATACTTCACGCCATATAGTGTTCTGACGAGAAAATCTATGATGCTTTGCTCATTATCGGTCGTTGCATCCTCACAGAGTAATTCTCATTCTATATACTACGGAATCATATACTGTGCCACAATCACCCAGAAAATGTAGGGTAGATCCAATGGTAGGATTACTACCTTAGTAGAATAAATTTCTGAGGGTAGTGTTCTCTGGAGTAGGCGGTTCAATCGCGAAGCTTTCACTGCCTTCTCAAACAACATAATTACTCTTATTCAACATTAGAATCCTCCATTTCTCCGCACTTAGGGGAATCGGGCTCTAACAGCTCAGTCAGCTGATCAACTTGTAGAATTATGGTCTTGATCGGCATTGGTACACTTATCCGTCTTACTAGAATAATAAACTTGATCTTGAACTCTGAATCTGTCATAATAGGACTGCCTAATCTATCAGACCTTACATAGAAGTCACATCATTTTCTATAATGACCCGTCCTATCTTGTGGACAGCGGTTCCAGCCAAGGAATTTTGAAGAGAACACTTACGAAGAGGATAGATTAACGTGTTTGACACAGTGACTAGTGGTTTTGAGATCATTGCTTAATATGACTCCTAAATCTTTATAGTTTCTTACTTCGGGTAGCACGAATCCACGTGGTGTATAGTGATACGATTCGTCAGAATTATTTAACTGCATCACTACACTCTTATTAAGATTTACTTCTAGTGACCACCTATCTAACCATGCCACCAATGATCTAAGATCATCCTGTAATACCATCCTATGGTGTTAGTACAGTTAAACAAACAGGTACAGTAAAACAACCACTGGTACAACTGTAAGGTCCAAACTAAGGTTTGAACTGAAGAATAGCTGTCTGTCTAGGTGGGTTAGATACGCGCCCTTGCCCAATTGAAACCTAAACAATGTAAATGGGTAAAATGACGGTTCTATAATTCATCATGAATTTAAATGTAGATTGTCACCTAAACAAATATGACCACCCAGCTGTTCAATCATAAATTGTTCAATTAATCAAGTCTAAATTACAATAAATAAGGAAGTTGATAAAGGATACAAGAAAATTACCAATCACAACAAATAAATGTCATTCTATCCTGTCTGGATAGATCGCGCACAGATTTGTCCAAAAGATAATATTTGGTTGCTCTACAACTTAGTGAAGGCGTAAGAAAAATAAAAACTATAATAAAATATAAATATTAATCCCTCAAATGGAATCAAAAGGACTAACAAAATGTACAACTAAAGGAATCAATAAGAAAAAACTGCAAGTGTCTACATGGAGTGATTTTTACACACAAAACATTTGAAATAGATCTTACACAATTGTTTCCATTATACCAATCGCGTTCTCTTTATAAAAGTAGGTCACTACAGGAGCCCCCCACCAGAAACGGGTTACATTTTTTATACGTAGCGATTTCGTTTGTGTGACTGTGGGACTAAAGGGTTGACCAACAGGAAGCGATAGTTAATCCTCGAGTTGTCACCGAAGGTCTTTTGCGTACAACGGTCCCAGGAGAAACGTGCTGTACTTACTGCTTGCGTTAGCATGCCACACCAAAGTTGTTTGTATCCAGGATCTGAGGATTGCATTGGTAGGGATGCAAACCGGAAAACACTGTAGATGTAGGACGAAACGACGTTGAGCCAAGAAACCAGAAACGGCCAAAACAACCATTTTTGAGACCAAACATATGCCAGACAGATTCAAAACCGGAATATCGACTGAGTGTGTTGACAAGAGCGTGGGCGACTAGGTCAGTTTCACCAAAATCGACTGAAGTCGACGGTACCAAACGGACGACAGCCTTCAGCGTGGGCTCAGGATACCAAAAAATCAAAGAAAGAGGGAAAGGTGTAGCATGCATATAGTGCAGGGATAGAGTCCTACACTGTATCCGTTGTTGATTGAGAGGTTATTCGCAAAAGCGTACGGGTAGACGGTAGTCTCGTTTGTACTTTGTGAGCCTGCAATCTCGTCCGAAGTCAATGGCGGCGTGGTCTGCTGATCTAGATATGAAACTGACGTCTCGTTCGCAGATGGTGCAGATGACACGTGCTGTTGACTGGGACGTGAGAATGAGGTCTCTGATGTATCTAGTGTGGGATCTGAAGTAGATGAAGAGATCCTATTAGTAAGTTTGATAGGTCTAGCATTGAGCCTCGATTTATCGAGCACAGCTCTGTCGTCGACGTGTGCTGGTTTGAGACGACCAATCTTGACTATTTTGACGCGGTCATGTCGACCGATCTTGAAGTTCTTTTCGTGACGGGAAATCATATGAAAAGATCCTTCGTAAGGCTGTTGCGAAGGTTTGCGTACCGAATCTACTTGAATGAAAACATATGAACAGGTAGATAACTCTCGAGGGAGAGCGACCTGTCTATGCTGTATTCGAGTTGACACCGGAGGCAGTGTTCGCATAAATTCAGACAATCGTTGGACGTAGTCTGATTTACCAAAATTATTACTGCTCCGTGGAATGAAAAATTCCTCGGGCAGACGCAATGTCGTGCCGTATACAGGTTCAGCAGCGGAACATTGAATATCTGCTCTTAAGCTCGTTCTGATACCTAGGAGGACGAGCGTTAAGGTTTCGTACCAATTGTTGTTTTCGTGTGCTCGAAGAGCACTTTTAAGTTGGCGATGAAACCATCCAACTGAACCATTTGATGCTGGGTGGTAGGTGGTATTGCTTATATGTTCCGTACCAAGCAGCGAAGTCAGTGAGGAGAATAATTGAAACTCGAATTTTTGTCTTCGGTCAGTCGTGACAGTCGAGGGACAACCGTCCAGCGCTATCCGTCGTTCTACGAAGCGGTGAGCAACTGTCTCTGCCGTAATAGACGCGATGAGTATAGCTTCGGGCCATCTTTTAAAACGGTTGATGCACGTGAGTATGTGATCATATCCATGTGATGGTGGCAGTGGTCCCACAATATCTAAATGAGCGTGATCAAAGCGAGCATCAGGCGTAGCGAACGTGCCAATGGGGGGAGCTACGTGCCTGTGCACTTTCGATCGTTGACACCGTAAGCATTGCTTTAGCCACATACGGAGATCTTTATTCATGGACGGCCAGACGTACCGTACAGCGATGAGGTGTAATGTGGCTGCGATACCTGGATGAGACAATCCACGCAAAGCATCGAAGACGAGACGACGGTAAGCAGAGGGTATGATGGGTCAGGGGAAACCAGTAGAAGCATCACGCGGGATATTACCTGAGCTAGTAACAAGGAGTACTTCCAGGCACTGAAGGGATGTATAATGTTGAGCTCCCGCGCAGGAGGGATCGCTTGCTTGAGCGGCAGCCATAGCAGGAAGATTAAGCACCGGTAAAGTAATTGCATTCACTCGGATACGTGACAGAGCACCAGCAACATAGTTCTACCCGCCTTTAATGTGACGAAGGTCTGTCGTGAACTGAAAGATATAGTCCAAAGGTCTGCATTCTCGTGGTTAGTAGCCATCAGACTTGGTATGCAGAGCATAGGTTAAAGGCTTATGGTTCGTGAATAAAATGAAATGGCGACCTTCTACTGCGTGCCGGAAATGCCTGATGGCACAGTAGGCTGCTAGTAGTTCTTGATCAAAAGCGCTATATCTCCTCCTCATGGGAGTGAGGCGTCGTGAGAAAAATTAGAGATGTTGCCAACTTCTCGAAACGTTCTGTCGCATGATGGCTCCCATAGCAAAATTCGATGCACCAACCTCTATACTAAGCGTGGCTGATGGGTCGGGATGGGCGAGGAGTGTAACTTGAGCCAGAGCCATTTCGATCTCTGAAAATGCAGCACGCGTGGCATCGTCCAATTCTAATTTGCGTGGATTACCGCGAAGTAAGTCGG